GATAATTCCCGTTTTGAATGAACAGCATGTTAAAATTTATGAATGCATCTGTGGGGTCGACCGCTGAATGGAATGGACTTGAGTCGAAGACGGGTTGTGGTCTTATGACGGGCTGAAGGAAGAAATGTTCACGAAAAGTTCGAAGGCGATCAACAGAGAGTTGTTAAGTGTTTAAGTGAAAGTGTTTAAGTGTTTTGTCTTTCACGAAACATGGAAGGATGGCCACTGGGTTAACCATCTAAATCAAGACTGCCCAGTAATCTCCCTAGGGGACTGGTGTCGCTGCCCAGTAATCTCCCAAGGGGACTGGTGTCAACTACGGGCTCACCATAGCCCGTGCTACTTGGAACTGTTTGTTCCAGGTAGCGAATCTTTAACAACAACAACAACAGAGACTGGTGTCGCTGCTGGAGTCAAGCGGTAAGCTTGAAGACGACTATAGCAGTCGTTTAAGCTTTATATTTAAACCAAACTGGATTTTTTTTATGAGAGCTGCTAAAGAGGTGTGTTAACTGCTCCACCAAGTGTGCCCAACCTGTTCCTTGTGCCGTGGAGCAGCTTGGCGTCGTTTAGTTACGGCACCTGGTGTCTACTGTAAACTTTATACTGCTTGACCTTTAACTACCCACTCTTCTAGTTCTGTCATTAGTCTCGAGAAATGAGTGTAGTCAAGTCGTCCTCCACGCGAACGTCTTCACAAAACTCGTTTCTCGATTGTCAGAACCGCATATCCTTAGGTTAGGTGAGGATAGGTTAGGTTATGTTAGGATAGGTTAGGTTAGGTTAGGTTAGGTTAGGTTAGGTTAGGTTAGGATAGATTAGGTTAGGTTAGGTGAGGTTAGGTTAGGTTAGGTTAGGTTAGGTTAGGATAGATTAGGTTAGGTTAGGTTAGGATAGATTAGGTTAGGTTAGGATAGATTAGGTTAGGTTAGGATAGATTAGGTTAGGTTAGGATAGGATAGGATAGGATAGGATAGGTTAGGTTAGGTTAGGTTAGGTTAGGTTAGGTTAGGTTAGGTTAGGTTAGGATGTTAGGATAGATTAGGTTAGGTTAGGATAGGTTAGGTTATGTTAGGTTAGGTTAGGTTAGGATAGATTAGGTTAGGTTAGGATAGGATAGGATAGGATAGATTAGGTTACGTTAGGCTAAGATATGATAGGATACGTTAGGTTAGGTTAGTTGAGGATAGAATAAGAGAGGTTAGGTGAGGATAGATTAGGTTAGGTTAGGATAGGATTGGTTAGGTTAGGTGAGGATAGGATAGGTTAGGTTAGGATAGGATAGGATAGATTATGTTAGGGTAGGATAGGATAGGATACATTAGGTTAGGATAGGATTGGATAGGATAGGATAGGTTAGGATAGGATAAGTTAGGATACGTTAAGATACGTTAGGATAGGATAGGTTAGGGTAAGATAGGATAGAATAGGTTTGGTTAGCATAGGATAAGATAGGTTAGCTTAGGATAGGTTATATTAAGATGTATTCAACCTGTTCTTTTGAAATTTCCCATTTTAACATATAAATTCCCCCCCCCCCCAAGACCTGATGCCCTTAACATCACAGTCTCTCACAAAACTGACGCGAGGTCCCGTTTTCTATTCGTGGGTCCTCGATTAGGTTAGGTTCGGGATGTTTAATACATCATTTTAATGACGTTGTGATCGCGCCGAGGGGCCGGGTTCCAGTCGGTGGCTACTCTCACCGGCCGGTAGGAGCAGTCACCTAGTTATGCTTGCGTGGGGGGGTTGAGCTCTGGCTCTTTGGTCCCGCCTCTCAACCGTTCCAGTGTGTGAAGGAGCGCATGCACAGGCCCCCCCCCACCCCCCCCCCCCACCCCCCTCGCTGGGGTGAGGGCGTGCGGGGGCAATAATTGGAGTATTCAGCAGCTAGTTAGTGCAAGGAAGGGGAGAGCGCGAAGCCTCTTGCGTATTGTGTGATATCGGGTCACGCTGCACGGGACGCAAGAGATGTCGGGACGTGCGGCTGTCTCTGCTGGTGTTACTGCTGCTGCTGCTGCTGCTGCTGCTGGTGTTACTGCTGCTACTGCTGGTGTTGCTGCTGCTGCTGCTGCTGCTGCTGCTGGTGTTACTGCTGCTGCTGCTGCTGCTGCTGGTGTTACTGCTGCTGCTGGTGTTACTGTTGCTGCTGTTGCTGCTACTGTTATTGCTGTTGCTGCTGCTGCTACTGCTGCTAGTGTTACTGCTGCTGCTGCTGCTGGTGTTACTGCTGCTACTGCTGGTGTTGCTGCTGCTGCTGCTGCTGCTGCTGGTGTTACTGCTGCTACTGCTGGTGTTGCTGCTGCTGCTGTTGCTGCTGGTGTTACTGCTGCTGCTGCTGCTGCTGGTGTTACTGCTGCTGCTGCTGCTGGTGTTACTGCTGCTGCTGGTGTTACTGTTGCTGCTGCTGCTGCTACTGTTGTTGCTGTTACTGCTGCTGCTGCTGTTGCTGCTGCTGCTGCTACTGCTGCTAGTGTTACTGCTGCTGCTGCTGCTGCTGCTGGTGGTGTTACTGCTGCTGCTGCTACTGCTGCTGGTGTTACTGCTGCTACTGCTGGTGTTGCTGTTGCTGCTGGTGTTACTGCTGCTACTGCTGGTGTTGCTGTTGCTGCTGGTGTTACTGCTGCTGGTGTTACTGCTGCTGCTGTTACTGCTGCTGGTGTTACTACTGCCTAAACCCCGCAGACCCCGCTCTAATGGGCTCACGTCGGGGTTTCGTCTCGAAATCTAGAGTGCATACTAGAGCATACAATAGGCATATCTAGAGTGCATACTAGAGCATACAATAGGCATATCTAGAGTGCATACTAGAGCATACAATAGGCATATCTAGAGTGCATACTAGAGCATACAATAGGCATATCTAGAGTGCATTTTACTTAATTTTTACTATTATTATCATCCAGTTTTTAATGCAGTTGATCGTAAACAACTTTTGACCAATGAACAAATCCACAAGGGCCGTGACGAGGGTTCGAACCTAAGTCCGAGAGGATCCCAGACGCTGCCTTAATCGATTGAGCTACGACATGGTATAAAAATTGCAACCGGGAAATCATCTTGATATACCAACGGATCCTGCAGTTCCCGGTTGCAATTTATATACCATGTCGTAGCTCAGTCGATTAAGGCAGCGTCTGGGATCCTCTCGGACGTATATTCGAACCCTCGTCACGGCCCTTGTGGATTTGTTCATGTGATGCATCACGCTATTGTGATTTCTGTGTGTAACTTTTGACCAAGTAAATCTAACTCTTTATGTTAAGGAAGAAATACGAATTTGAAAAATCAGAGTTTTTTTTTTTTAAATAGAAACAAAAAATTCGACGCACTGTCAAGCTGTCTGTTGCGGCGAGAAACTGCGGTAACACCGTGACCGCACGCGGCCAAGCACGTGGTTGCGGCAATGCTTTATTTGGGGGGATGGGGGTGGGAGGGGTAAAGGTTGACTAAAGAGGATGGAGAGGCACAGGCGAAGAGAAAACTTTGGAAAGGGGGAAATATAGGGAGAGGAGAGGGAGCTATCAGGAGAAAGCGTCAAGCCATTACGATTATATAGCACTTGGAAGGGAGCAGGATAAGGATTTAGGATGGTACGGTTAGGGGGGAGGGGGGGGAAATGGTGCCCAACCACTTGGACAGTCGGGGGATTGAACCCCAGACCTGCATGAAGCGATATCGTCGCTCTACCGTCCAGCTCAAGTGGTTGGACGAGAGGAAAATATAGTATTAGATGCTGTCCGCCTTGCTGACCTGGTGTGTGTGTGTGTGTGTGTGTGTGGTGTGTGTGTGTGTGTGTGTGTGTGTGTGTGTGTGTGTGTGTGTGTGTGTGTGTGTGTGTGTGTGTGTGTGTGCGTGTGTGTGGGTGTGTGTGTGTGTGTGTGTGTGTGTGTGTGTGTGTGTGTGTGTGTGTGTGTGTGAAGTTCTTCACGTGCATTTCAGCATATATGGAGGTCTGTAGATGAATACTGTGTAGTATTCACATATACACACTCAGATGCTTCTATAAATACTTTGATGTTCCGTTTAAGTTTTTTTTTATTTTATTATTTATTTATTTGTTTACTTATATATTATTATTTGTTTTTTATGAGTGAGAGAGATTTCTGCTCAGTGTTACATCTAGGAATTATGTATTGTGGGGCTGGATTTCTATCGAGTAGATAGAGGCTCTTGGGTCATCAGCTGTGGGAGCGGGGTGTCTCATCTTGAGCCACCAGCCGTGGGAGTGGGGCGTCTCATCTTGGCCCACCAGCTGTGGGAGTAGGGTGTCTCATCTTGGCCCACCAGCTGTGGGAGTGGGGCGTCTCATCTTAGCCCACCAACTGTGGGAGTGGGGCGTCTCATCTTGGCCCACCAGCTGTGGGAATGGGGCGTCTCATCTTAGCCCACCAGCTGTGGGAATGGGGCGTCTCATCTTGGACCACCAGCTGTGGGAGTGGGGCGTCTCATCTTGAGCCACCAGCCGTGGGAATGGGGCGTCTTATCTTGGACCACCAACTATATAGATGTATTGATATGCAAACATTACATGCCAACCAGCTACTCGGCAAACATGCGAGGCGATCGTGCACGTCCCCGGGACTCAACGGAACGACACATCCAAGCGAAGGAAAATATATATTGAGCAACAAAACAGAGAAATATATGATTGAGTCACGCACTCTCTCCCTCTCTCTCGACCTGAACTCAACCCGAGTCAAGAGCTTCTCAACCTCAGCCAATAATGTTCTTGTTCGAAACTCGCGGTGTTTTCTCTCTACGATGAGGTATAATGAGGTGTATGTGAGGAGGAGGAAGGTCGTTCTGCGTGTTCTGCTACTATACGAAACCTTTACATCTCTCCAAAATCATGGCGGCTTTGTTTACATTTATCAAGCCGTTTATGGGGTTCCGGGGCACAATGAGGTTGTTTATAACAATAATAACCTTGAGTTGTGAAGTTTCCAAGCTCGTGAGCTGCTTAATAAGGTCAACAAAGCCGCCATCATTAAGGAAAGATGAACAGGTTTCGTATGTGGTTGATGAAGTCTGGTCTTAGTGAAGTACAGGGAACCTACGATAAAGTTTTGGAGCAAGAGTTAATGGTTGTGAAGATTAGCATACTTGAGAGAGCATTTATCCTGGTGGCCACAGCATCACCCAGCAGCCACAGCATCTTCCAGCAGCCACAGCATCACCCAGCAGCCACAGCATCACCCAGCAGCCACAGCATCACCCAGCAGCCACAGCATCACCCAGCAGCCACAGCATCACCCAGCAGCCACAGCATCACCCAGCAGCCACAGCATCACCCAGCAACCACAGCATCACCCAGCAGCCACAGCATCACCCAGCATCACCCAGCAGCCACAGCATCACCCAGCAGCCACAGCATCACCCAGCAACCACACCATCCCCCAGCAGCCACACCATCACCCAGCAGCCACAGCATCACCCAGCAGCCACAGCATCACCCAGCAACCACAGCATCACCCATCAGCCACACCATCACCCAGCAGCCACAGCATCACCCAGCAGCCACAGCATCACCCAGCAGCCACAGCATCACAGGAGACGGCGTCGCCTCGCCACTCCCTCGACTTAGACAATGAGTGTAATTATCTCGACAGGATGGCAATGAGGCTATTGACCGACAGACGGGTTAGGTGACAGTCGCCTTAGGTGACAGTCGGTGAAGGTGACAGTTGTGGTGACAATCGGTGGTGGTGGGGGCCTTCCCTGACGACTGTCAGTACTCACCTATCACTGACCAGAAGGAAGTAAAGTCTAGCTCTGTAGCCCCGCCGATTGGGCCTTGATGTATGCACCTGTGGCGCTAAAATTTAACTTTCTGACTTCGAATTCTTTATGGAATATAGTATCTAAAGGTGTGGATGGAGGCGGCTTCTGCAACTTCTACAATTTCTTTGACTAATTTGCTTTTCCAGCTCCCACTTACGACCTACTTTCTCTCACTTTAAAGAGGCTAACCTTGTCGATTACCCTCAGTATGATGTATGTTCCAATCATGTCCACTCTGTTTCTCCTCTATACCGGCGTGTGAGGTCCAGTTCCCTTCACCTGTCCTCATAGCTTAGCCCTCTTGGTTCTGGTACTAGTCTCGTTGCAAACCTTTGTACTTTTTCAGGTTTGTTTCACGTTAAACAGAGTACGATTTCCGGGCCGGTGCCGCGTATCAAGGGATGTGTAGATGGCGGTGTTGGTCCTCCCCCCCTGGTGACTGTGGTGGGCAGAGAGGTCCCAGGAGTGGAGAGTGAAGGCACGGAAGGGATTGGGCACGAAAGGGTGGTCGTGGAGCCGTCAGGAGGGCCAAGACTCAGTAGTGTGTGTGTGTGCGTGCTGAGAAAGGGCGAGTGCGGAGAGCGGTTGTCGAGGCGGCCTCATCCTTGACAGGATTATTGTCGTTGTGGATATATATCACAGCGCCTTTCCAGGGGCCCTTGGCTTGTGGGAGAGTGGGGGAGGGGGGGGGGATAGTTTCTTCCCCCTAATAGTTCTTGCATAATAGAGTTTGCAGGACTCTTACAGTTCTTGCATAATAGAGCTTGCAGGACTCGTACAGTTCTTGCATAATAGAGTTTGCAGGACTCTTACAGTTCTTGCATAATAGAGCTTGCAGGACTCTTACAGTTCTTGCATAATAGAGCTTGCAGGACTCTTACAGTTCTTGCATAATAGAGCTTGCAGGACTCTTACAGTTCTTGCATAATAGAGCTTGCAGGACTCGTACAGTTCTTGCATAATAGAGTTTGCAGGACTCTTACAGTTCTTGCATAATAGAGCTTGCAGGACTCGTACAGTTCTTGCATAATAGAGTTTGCAGGACTCTTACAGTTCTTGCATAATAGAGCTTGCAGGACTCTTACAGCTCTTGCATAATAGAGCTTGCAGGACTCTTACAGTTCTTGCATAATAGAACTTGCAGGACTCTTACAGTTCTTGCATAATAGAGCTTGCAGGACTCTTACAGTTCTTGCATAATAGAGCTTGCAGGACTCTTACAGTTCTTGCATAATAGAGCTTGCAGGACTCTTACAGTTCTTGCATAATAGAGCTTGCAGGACTCGTACAGTTCTTGCATAATAGAGTTTGCAGGACTCTTACAGTTCTTGCATAATAGAGCTTGCAGGACTCTTACAGCTCTTGCATAATAGAGCTTGCAGGACTCTTACAGTTCTTGCATAATAGAACTTGCAGGACTCTTACAGTTCTTGCATAATAGAACTTGCAGGACTCTTACAGTTCTTGCATAATAGAGCTTGCAGGACTCTTACAGCTCTTGCATAATAGAGCATGCAGGACTCTTACAGTTCTTGCATAATAGAGCTTGCAGGACTCTTACAGCTCTTGCATAATAGAGCATGCAGGACTCTTACAGTTCTTGCATAATAGAACTTGCAGGACTCTTACAGCTCTTGCATAATAGAGCTTGCAGGACTCTTACAGCTCTTGCATAATAGAGCTTGCAGGACTCTTACAGTTCTTGCATAATAGAGCTTGCAGGACTCTTACAGTTCTTGCATAATAGAGCTTGCAGGACTCTTACAGCTCTTGCATAATAGAGCTTGCAGGACTCTTACAGCTCTTGCATAATAGAGCTTGCAGGACCGATCTTCAGTTCCAACTCGAAGTCGATTACTGCAGTAACTCCCGACTCTTGTTGACATATTTGCTGTTCAGAACTATTGATAGAGGAAGTTTGTAGTTTGTTCCCCTTTGTTGCCCTTAAGCCTCAGGTATCCTTACCTGAAGACCTGAAACCTCAGGTCTTCTCGTTGACCAGACCACACACTAGAAGTTGAAGGGACGACGACGTTTCGGTCCGTCCTGGACCATTCTCAAGTCGACAATCGACTTGAGAATGGTCCAGGACGTCGTCGTCCCTTCAACTTCTAGTGTGTAGTCTGGTCAACATACTTCAGCCACGTTATTGTGACTCATCGCCTGCCTTAGGTCTTCTCGTTTTGTGGCTCTTAAACCCTAATATCCTATATCGATTACCCTGGGTATGTATATATCTGGATCATGTCCCCTCTGTTTAATCTTTCTTCCAGTGTCCCTGTATCAATATATGTAGGTATATGTATCGTTTTCGAAATCATTCGTGTCCATGTTTCCGAAGACTGTCGGGACGATTGCCTCCTTGGTATATGGTAGCGATGGCTGTACTTTTTTAATGAGACTTGTGGTTTTAATGCACAGCGATATGCATCTATTGCACGACTGCACACTCCAATGCAACCACGGTAAACCTTCAACATGCCAAGCACTACAGAATAAGTGGAACAAGATCAATGTCTTATGCTTCTTTATGATTGACTCAACTCCCCCCTCTCGCTTGAGTCTATTACTAGGCACAGGGATCAATATCTTTCAGCTCCTCGTCTTCGGAATTAATCTCAAAATGGGGCTTTGTTGACATTAAGGTTCCATAACGTATTTGTAGACTTATGACAAATGAGAATAAATATGTTATACATACATAATAGTTTATTTACGATTATCAACGCGCGCAGATAAAATCAAATGGGGGATGTAAAATACTTTACCCATCCTTCTATCCCTGCAAAACTTTCCCACGGCCCTTCGCTCAATGCCAGCGTTCATTTCCTCAAAATAAAAATATTAATCTGATCTGTAACTGTGTGACAACTGCGTACAAATGCACACATACACGCCCGTACGCTCACGCCCTGACGCCCACGCACATACGCCCACGCGTCCACGCCCACGCCCCCACGCCCACGCGTCCACGCCCACGCCCTCACGCCCTTAGTGCAGGCGTCCTAATTGTGGTCATTATGTCTTCGGCAGGTATACTTCCCCTTATAATAAACTCGGTGAGCGTCGCCGTTCAAGTGACTGGAGGACCTAAGTGGTCGGGGGGGGGGGGGGGGGTATACTTTGACAGCAGTGATAATTATGTTTGACACGAGTAGTGATGCAGTGACACTTAATTCTTTTGACAGAGGTGTATGACTTTAGTGTGCGTGTGCGTGTGTGTGTGTGTGTGTGTGTGTGTGTGTGTGTGTGCGTGCGCTCGCGTGAGAATGGGAAGAGGGGAAGACAATTTTATTTTACAGCATCCGCTAATATGTAACTGCGTATATGTATAGATGGTTGGAATCCTGATCTCTTACTGAACCTCTCCGCTGTAGGTGGCTTCGAACCCCCTGCTGGTCGAGCCCAAGATCAGCTGCGTTGTTGCACTAGCCATTGTACCGTAACTTGTGAAGCTGTCAGCCCAGCTTCACAAGTTATAGTACAAGATCTACAGCTAATAAGAAATTACCTTCAAGAACACATTCTAAGAATAAGCCTTAATAGAACAGAGTCCGAGTCACTCCAAGTTGTACCAAATTCCTAAGAGAGAGTAGCACGCTTGGCCCCCTGTTGTGGAGTGCCAGGCACAGCGACCCTTCACACTTTGTCACTGGAGGGCAGTCCTCCTGAGGGCAGGTTACACTTGCTGCTGAGAAAGCACGGAGGATTTTCAGGATTAGAAAGCATGACAAAGTGGGAGTAGCAGAAGAATGAATCCCAGAGTCTTCTTAGCGACAAGGGCCAACGTCATGGATTGAAACGTGACTCTCCAGGGAGCCTGAAGTGGCCCGTGGTGAGCCTAGCAACCCTGGCAGGCAAACAAGAACATAGAGCACCAAGAAGCGTCTCCTCGTCAGCAGCGGTTGCCAAACAACGGGGGGACAACCCCCATGCTCTGTCATCGCTCGGATGCTCAGTCACCAGCAGCTCTTCTCTGGCTGTGCCATTTTCATTCCCCAGAACATCACACTGTTTGCTAATTATTCCTTCCTTCGAACATGTTCTCTCAGCATGTATATAGTCATGACATCACGAAAAACTGACCATACTAAGGTTCTAGGACACAACTGCCTCCAAATTCACCCCGAGTCTATTATGATTGATGTCCAATCTCTTTAAAAACATATAACAGCATTACATAGAGCAATTACATTTTTAGGCATCAAAATGAGCTGATGTAACGTTAGTAAATGTGTGGAATTAATTCAGGAGAATGAATGATACATATATTGAATGCTGGTCGTGGCTTGCATACCAGAGACGACGTAGGACTCGGGATTAAGACCTACAGCAGAAGACATATGGGAGTCCTCTCTCTCCTCTCTCTCTCTCTCTCTCTCTCTCTCTCTCTCTCTCTCTCTCTCTCTCTCTCTCTCTCTCTCTCTCTCTCTCTCTCTCTCTCTCTCTCTCTCTCTCTCTCTCTCTCTCTCTCTCTCTCTCTCTCTCTCTCTCTTATCAGCATGTTGTCCCCGCAAGCACCTAGTTGTGCTTGCGGGGATTTAGCTCTGGCTCTTTGGTCCCGCCTCTCAACTGTCACTCAACTGATGTATACAGGTTCCTGACATCAGTTCATCGACAGTTGGCTCTATCATATCTACACTTGAAACTGTGTATGGAGTCAGCCTCCACCACATCACTTCCTAAAGCAATCCATTTGTCAACTACTCTATCACTAAAGAAATTCTTTCTAATATCTCTGTGGCTCATTTAGGCACTCTACCCTACCCTGTCTTTATTTACCCTTCTATCCTTTGAGAATCTTGTATGT